AGCACTTACTGTGATTCTTCTCAAAGGGGATTAGACAAATCCATTGGAGGCAATTCCTTCCATTTCTTAAAATAGCCACGTCTCACTTTTCTCCCATAGGAGGAACTCGAGGTGGCTCAAACGAGAAAAGGTAGACAAAGCTGTTAACCTGGTGAATAAAGGGGGCCTCCGCCTTCTGGGGCAGCAGAGCTCTGAAAACCAGGTCCTAGGGGCTAATGATCATGGCGGAATTTGCAGGGTTGCCAAATTCTTCTTCGCCGGGAGCGGGGGGGCTCCCGGCCGGCGTCGGGCTTGCGCGCGCGCGCGTCACCCGGAAGTGATGTAGGCAAGCTGGGCACGCTGGGGGCGGGGCCACGGCCATACAAGGGAAAACCATAGAGTTTTCCCTTGTATGTCTGTGGCCCCGCCCCCAGCCAGCCCTAGGAATTTGGCGTCTGTGCCCATGCTTATAGGGACATCTAGTGCAGGTATGTCCAACAGGTAGATTGCGATCTACCAGTAGATTGCAGAGGGGTCAGAGGTAGATCACTAACCCCACTTGCTGGAATGGATATGGCAGTCAGTGGACTGGCACCCCAAGGAGCTTTGGGGAGGGGCTTGGGTAAGATGTCATGCCGTGTTGATGTCGCATCTGCCTGAAAACCCGGTTGTGACCGTAGCATGCAAAGAGACTGTCGCGGCTCAGGTGATGCTGCCACCACTCTGATTTTAGGATCGCTTGCGAAGGCCCAGAGCACCCTCCCAAGACCTTCAGACATCCCTTGTTTGGCCGAAATAAGGGTTAGGACCAGGCAGAGTAAACAGCAAATAAAAGGTTTATTTTTACAGGCGGTCAGCCCAATATGGGAAACAAACAGGGTACAAGAACAATATCAGTAAGGGGGGTGAAGAGAAAAGAAACCGAATGCCCTAACGTGTCTAAACTTACTGCCCCTAGCTCACTGTCTCAAGTGGGCCTCAGTCTGCTCACCCTTCCTCTCAGGAGGAGGGTCTCTTCCCTGCGGCAGCCTTCCTTCTGGCTCTGCCCTCTTGGAAGAAAGAACAGCTCTTCTTCTGTACCAACTCTTTTATTATAAGTCCCCTTTCTCTGTGATTGGCTAAAATTGGCGCCAAAACCTCTCAGGGACTTCTGGGAGTTGTAGGCCAGGCCTCCTCCCACTGCTACTCAGGCTCCCTGAGCCTACTAGGCCTCTAGTTGCGCAGCCCACATCATGACAGAGACGCTCTGAAAACTCATTGATATTACCCTAGAGGTTCCAGATGTGCTCCAGTCATATATGGGTTTGGGGTATAATGTGATTGTGATTTGTGACATGTCACGCGATGTCCTTTCCACACCCCTCTGTCCCCTCCCCCCCGTCCAGACAGAAATCTCTGAGAAGTCTGAAATATGTTAACAACATTTCTAATCCCAGAGGCTCATAGGGACTCTTGAACAAACTTACTCCCAGCAACACTCTCTTGGCAGTGATTTGTTTATTGAGAGATAAAGATGTTTCAGGCTAAGACCCATCCAATCATTCTGCCCATTCAGCCCGCCAAAACCTACTGTGCTCCATTAATCCTCCCCACCCCCCAACACCTGAAGCAGTATGTTACATTATCAAGCAATGTCTCATGCCCAAGAACAATCAAGCATTCTTCTCCAGTGAAAGGGAGGCCTCTTGCAAGTTACAGCGAGGGTTATTCCCAGGTAAGCAGTCCTGATCATTCACTTTTTTAATTTTTAAAGACAAAACATACATAAAAACAGAACTAACATAAAAGAGCGGAAATTATTCTTACAATTCCTTGTTTAACAAACTCATGCCTAATTTATCGTACGTTTATATATTTCACCTTGTATCATTATGTGGATCTCTTGCAAATATATCAAACTTGTCCTTTGTATGTCCTTAGAAAGACAATTAAATTGTCTGTATGGTTTATTTATTACAGTCCTCACACCCCCACACTCAGACGTTCCCCCCCTCCTTCCCAGCCAGAACAAATATGAGGCAAAGCACAGAATCACAGACAGTGCAGGAAAACCACGGCAAACGAGATCCGAGTTTGACACCCAGTTCTTCTCTTCTGCCTCTCCCAGAATTTAGTAACAAGTTTCTTGAGTGTACACAGGGCAAGGTTTCACAACCCTGGGAATGGGGTGTGTAAAGCAGGGAACAAGCAAGCAGACACCCTTCCTTCTTTGTCTCAGGAACAGGCAGTGAAGAGATGCTGTTGAGCCGTCGTCTTTTCAGAGGTGTGGAAACGGCTGCTGCCCCTCCCGTAGGGAGGAGAGATGGGCCGGGGGGGGGGGGGACAGCCTGGGTCCCTCCTCCTTTCTCAGGGGGGGCTTCTGCTCCTGCACTTTCTACAAGGTGTCCTGGCAAGAGATCCTCTGAACGCCGTTCCATTTACCCATCCCAAGCCATACATCCTGTCCCCCTCTGGACGACTCCCTTCCAGTGTGCAATCTCTGCCTGTCCTGATCTCTGACGAGGCAGTCTACATTTTCTTTCAGCGTCCCGTTTCCTTCGAGGAGGTGTCCGTCGATTTCACCGAGGCAGAGTGGGCCCTGCTGGATCCGGGACAAAGAGCTCTGTACAGGGAAGTCATGCTGGAGAACTCTGGGAACGTGGCCTTTCTGGGTAAGGATCATTCCTAGGTGTCGAAGGTACGAATCGCTGCCATTGTGATGGGACATGAATCAAAATACTGAATAGCAACATGCCGTATTGAGGCCTGTCACACTCCTTGAGGAGGGAATGTGGCTCACTGACACAGCATCTGCTTGGCATGCAGAAGGTCCCGGGTTCAAAACCTGGCAGCATCTCCAGTTAAAAGGACCAGGTAGGAGGTGATGTGAAAGACCTCTGCATCCAGTTAACATGGCTTCCCTCTGGTCTATACCCGTATGATACTTTCTGCCTCTCTAGGGTCAGGTGGTCCTAATGCCCCAATCAAGGGTATTCCCTGATGGAATTTTCCAGAGGCTGTTAGCACCCTCCTAATCCCCCCTCCCTCCTGGTTACACAAATGGATACAGATCCTCATGATTAACCACTGACCACATTCTGGAGTCTGGTCTTGAAAGAGATAAAGATGTAAGGACGAGAGCCGGTTTGGTGAAGTGGTTACGAGCACAGATTCTAACCTGGAAGAACTCGGTTTGATTCCCCACTCTTTCACATGCAGCTGCTGGTGTGACCTTGGTTCAGTTACAAGTTCTTTCAGAGCTGTTCTCTCAAGAGCAGTTCTCAAAAAGAATTCTCTCAGCCCCACCTACCTCACAGGGTCTCTGCTGTGGGAAGGGGGAGGGAAAGGAGTTTGTAAGCCGCTCTGACACTCCTTCGGGTAGTGAAGGGTGGGGTATAAATCCAATCTCTCCTTCTCTAGTTGCAGGGAGACTCAAATCACGAACACCCACAAGTCGGACCAGCCCACTTAATAATCATGTTAATCCTTGTGGGAAGTGGAATGCTTTGCCTCACAGATCCATTCCCCTGATACTGGCTGGAATTGTGAGCCTTGACCTTGACCATGGTTCTGTCCTTCCAGAAGAAGAAGAAGAGATTGGATTTATACCCCGCCCTTCACTCGGAGTCTCAGAGGGGCTTACAAACTCCTTTCCCTTCCCCACCCCACAACAGACACCCTGTGAGGTAGGTGGGGCTGGGAGAGCTCTGACAGAAACTGTTCTTTTTCAAGAACAGCTCTTATCAGAACTACGGCTCTTATCAGGTCATCCAGCCAGGTGCAAGTGGAGGAGTGGGGAACCAAACCCGGTTCTCCCAGATTAGAGTCCGCACACTTAAACCACTACACCAAACTGGCTCTCAGAAGTATTTTTATTGTTTTTTAAACTTTTTTTATATACGATTTTTCAAAAGAAAAACACAAACCGGAGACCAAAAGATAAACTAACAGACTAGATCGATAAACTGATAAAGAATTTTAATTCTTGAACTTCTTTCCTTCCCCATTTAAGAATGAAAACTTTCCCTTTCTTTCTCTGTCTCTCTCTGCAAAAGATGCTAGAAGTACAAGAGAGGCGACAGCAGACACAAAAAACGACCTTGCATCCATAGAAAGGCTGGAGAGTTCCTCAAGAGGATCCCAAGAGCATATCTCATTCCCAAATGAGCTGGCTGAGAGTGAGTATCCTTCACGGTTCTGTCAAGGGAACAGGCCAGGAATGGCTGTGGGGGATTTCTGATTCACGTCTTAGCAACATTTGGTTTGGGACAATCATACAACCCGCTGGGTAAGGAGAGAGGGAGGCCTTCTGGGGGCCTGAAATCTGGACCCTCCGAAGTTTCTCCAGGGCAAGAGCTCAGCTGTGGCTCTTGAGGGGTGAGGTATCCTTAAATACTAGATATTCTGGGGAAGGTTAGAAATGTGGTGATTATCAGCCAAGCTGGATGAAGCCAAAGGGCTGTCAATCCTTTCCTTCTGCAGTCACATAGATGCCTTTGGACCTTCCCAGCCCTCCCAAATTCTAAAAGGATCTCTCTCTTATTCCAGTGGAGGATGATCAGAGGAATGAGGAGGGTGAAGAACTTCATCAACAAATGCCAGATGCAGTTAGAAAGGAAGACCTAAAAGAAAACGTCAGGAATCAAGGCAGACCTAAGAGAAAGAAAGGCAGCCGTATGGTTGAGAAGAGAGACAGAAAACAGCGTAATGTACATTTTCCAAAGGAAAGGATAATGAAGCCAAGTAAATCCATTCAGTGTGGAAAATACTTCAGAAATAGATCACAGGTCCTTGTGTACCAAAGAATACACAGAGGTGAGAAACCTTTTGTATGCCCAGTGTGTGGAAAGAGATTCAGTCAGCGTGGCCAGCTTCTACGGCACAGAACGACCCACACAATAGAGAAATCTTTTGAGTGCTCAGAGTGTGGAAAGAAATTCAGCTGGAGTTACGCTCTTCAGTTGCACAGGAGAACCCACACAGGGGAGAAACCTTTTGAATGCTCAGAGTGTGGAAAGAGATTCAGTCAGAGTGGCAATCTTCAGAAGCACCGAAGAACCCACACAGGAGAGAAACCTTTTGTATGCTCAGTGTGTGGAAAGAGATTCAGTCAGCATGGCCAGCTTCTACGGCACAAAACAACCCACACAATAGAGAAATCTTTTGAGTGCTCAGAGTGTGGAAAGAGATTCAGTCAGCATGGCCAGCTTCTACGGCACAGAACAACCCACACAATAGAGAAATCTTTTGAGTGCTCAGAGTGTGGAAAGAAATTCAGCTGGAGTTCCGCTCTTCAGATGCACAGGAGAACCCACACAGGGGAGAAACCTTTTGAATGTTCAGAGTGTGGAAAGAGATTCAGTCAGAGTAGCATTCTTCAACGGCATCAGAGAACCCACACAGGGGAGAAACCTTTTGAATGCTCAGAGTGCAGAAAGAAATTCAGTATGAGGAGCAGTCTTCAAAGGCATCAGACAACCCACAAAGAGGAGAAACCTTTTGAATGCTCAGAGTGTGGAAATAGATTCAGGTTGAACAGCCATCTTCGAAAGCATCTGACAACCCACACAGGGGAGAATCCTTTGGAGTGCTCAGAGTGTGGAAAGAGATTCAGTGTGAAGGGGAATCTGCAAAAGCATCAGAGAACCCACACAGGGGAGAAACCTTTTGAATGCTCAGAGTGTGGAAGAAGATTCAGTCAGAATGGCAGTCTTCAACTGCATCAAAGAACCCACACAGGGGAGAAACCTTTTGAATGTTCAGAGTGTGGAAAGAAATTCAGTAGCAGTGGCAGTCTTCAAACGCACCAAAGAACCCACACAGGGGAGAAACCTTTTGAATGTTCAGAGTGTGGAAAGAAATTCAGTAGCAATGGCAACCTTCAACTGCATCAAAGAACCCACACAGGGGAGAAACCTTTTGAATGCTTAGAGTGCGGAAAGAAATTCCGTAGCAGTGCTCATCTTCAGCCACACCAAAGAACACACACAGGGGAGAAACCCTTTGAATGTTCAGAGTGTGGAAAGAAGTTCAGGCAGAGTGGCACTCTTCAACGCCATCAAAGAACCCATACAGGGGAGAAACATTTTGAATGCTTAGAGTGTGGAAAGAAATTCAGTAGCAGTAGTCATCAGAAAACCCACACAGGGGAAAAACCTTTTGCATGTTCAGTTTGTGGAAAGAGATTCAGTCAGAGTGGCACTCTTCAACGACATCAAAGAACCCACACAGGGGAGAAACCTTTTGAATGCCCAGTGTGTGGAAAGAGATTCAGTGAGAATGGTACTCTTCAGAAGCACCAAATAACCCACACAGGGGAGAAAAATTTTGAATGCTCAGAGTGTGGAAAGAAATTCAGTAGCAGTGGCTATCTTCAACTGCATCAAAGAACCCACACAGGGGAAAAGCCTTTTGAGTGCTCAGAATGTGGAAAGAAATTCAGTTACAGTAGCAGTCTTCAACTGCATCAGAGAACCCACACGGGGGAGAAACCTTTTGAATGTTCAGAATGTGGAAAGAGATTTAGTCAGAGCTGCAGTCTTCTGGAGCATAGAAAAACCCATACAGGGGAGAAACCTTTTGAATGCTCAGAGTGTGGAAAGAGATTCAGTGTGAGGGGGAACCTTCAACAGCATCAGAGAACCCACACAGGGGAGAAACCCTTTGAATGCTCAGTGTGTAGAAAGAGATTCACTGAGAGTGGTACTCTTCGGAAGCACCAAAGAACCCACACAGGGGAGAAACCTTTTAAATGCTCAGAGTGTGGAAAGAGATTTAGTATCAGTTCTACTTTTCAACGGCATCGAAGAACCCACACAGGGGAGAAACTTTTTGAAAGCTAATGCAGTTTTGGGGTGTACCAATGGAGGCATAACATCCAAATCACAAGATGGCATAGTCCTGCTGTACACCTCAGTGGGCCAAACCTGGAATCATAGAATCATAGAGTTGGAAGTTACCTCTAGGGTCATCTAGTCCATCCCCCTGCACGATGCAGGACATTCACAAATACCTTCCCCTCCACACCCGCAGTGACCACTGTTCCATGCCCAGAAGATGAACAAAAAACTCCAGGATCCCTGGCCAAACTGGCCTGGAGAAAAAGTGCTTCCTGACCCCAAAAGTGGCAATCAGCATTTCCCTGGGTGTGTGAGAAAGGGCCACAAGAACTAAGCACTGAGGAAACCCTTCCTGCCCTCCCTCTCATGATCTGCCCAAGTTAACAGAATCCACATTGCTGTCAGATGGCCATCTAGCCTCTGTTTGAAAACTTCCAATGAAGGAGAGCCCACCACCTCCCAAGGAAGCCTGTTCCACTGAGGAACCGTTCTAACTGTCGGGAAGTACTTCCTAATGTTTAGCCAAAAACTCTTCTGATTTAATTTCAACCCAGTGGTTCTGGTCCGACCTTCTAGAGCAACAGAAAACAACTCCGTACCATCCACTAGATGACAGCCCTTCAAGTACTTGAAGATGGTGATCATATCACTTCTCAGTCGTCTCCTCTCCAGGCTAAACATACCCAGCTCCTTCAACCTTTCCTCATAGGACTTGGTCTCCCAACCCCTCACCATCTTTGTTGCCCTCCTCTGGACATGTTCCAGCTTGTCTATATCCTTCTTAAATTGTGGGGCCCAAAATTGAACACAATACTCTTGGTGAGGTCTAGCCAGAGCAGAGTAAAGTGGTACCAACACATCTTGTTATCTGGACACTATGCTTCTGTTGATACAGCCCAAAATGGCATTTGCCTTTTTAGCAACCGCATCACACTGCTGACTCATGTTCAGTGTATGGTCTACTAAGATCCCTAGATCCTTTTTGCACATACTACTGCCAAGACAAGTCTCCCCCAACCTATAAGTATGCATTTGATTTTTCCTACCTAAATGCAGAACTTGACATTTATCCCCATTGAAATTAATTTTGTTTTAGCCCAGTTTCGCAGCCTGTCAAGATCATCCTATATCCTGACTCTGTCTTCTACCGTATTTGCTACCAGTGTTCCCTCTAAGCTGAGTTAGTGTGAGCTAGCTCACGGTTTTTTAGCCTCCGGCTCACACATTTTCGTCTTAGCTCAGGAAGGGACGGCTCCAGAGCAAACTAATTTATGCAGTAAATCGCTCCCTCAGAACTTTAATGCCAGTAGCTCACAAGGTAGAATTTTTGCTCGCAAGACTCCACAGCTTAGAGAGACCAGTGTTTGATACCCCTCCCAATTTAGTCTCATCTGCAGATATAATAAGCATTCCCTCTGTCCCTTCATCCAAATCATTGAACAAATCAGGACCCAGGACAGATCCTTGAGGCACTCCACTTGTCACTCCTCTCCTGGTATTTATACAAGTATGCTCTGTAATTCAGTACATGAAGATTTGGGAATACTACACCCTAGAAAAGATAACTCTATCCATGAAATCTGAAAAAGCAGTTAAAAAACAGTCTTTATTTTTTGCAAAATGGTTAGATTTTATGGAATTTTCACTTTCAAATTCCTCAGTTATTCAATTCCACTAAAATACAAAGAAATAATCGCAATATTTTAGGATTTATGGTTACGCAGGTTCTGTGTCATTATATACATTTAGTTAGACTTTAATGGCTTAAGTTATAGTTTAATTTACCTGCTACAATATAGATCGGCATTTGAAGCTAGGAGTTATATCAATAAAATATACAAGGGGCGGACCCGCGATACTCGCGGGAGGGGGGAGGGGGGCGGGAGCTCCAGGAGGAAGCAGCAGGAGGAGGTAAGTCCCCCCCA